TTCAAGAAATGTCAATTTACATGATAGTTGTTCTCCAATAAATTTGGAAGATGATAATGATCCAAATATTGGATTTTCTCAACAGCGAATGAATAAAAAGCACACATCTGATGTTTGAAAAATCTTTACAGTAGATGAACCAAATAAAAGAGTAATGTGCACTCTTTGTAGAAAGAGTTATGCATGGGTTAAAGGTCAAGGCACGGACACATTGCGAAGACACAAAAATAAACACATGAGTGAAAGAGAGCATTTAAATACTAAACATGCTCAAATTACTTCTTTTACTAATACTACTGGAACGGTTACTTTTTCTAACTTTTGTTATTCGCATGATCGAATGAGAGTAAGAATATCTGAATTTTTGGCAGCAAGCGAGATGCCTTTTAGTTTCGCAGAAGATCGATACTTGAGGAGTTTATGCAAAAGTATGTTCAACCTGCTTATCGGTCTGTAAGTAGACATACTGTTCGTTCAGATATCTTGAAATTATTTCATACAATGACTGAAAATTTAAAAACTGAATTTAACAATTTTGATGGAGTTATGTGTTTTACATCTGATTGTTGGTCTGGACGTAATCACAATGGTTATACATGTGTCACTGCACATTTTATTGATAATAATTGGTTACTTCACAAAAGAATTATTACTTTTCGCTTACTTGAATATCCACATAATTGAATAAATTTGTGTGAGAATTTATTACAGGTTTTTAATGAATTTAATGTATTGAGCAAATTATTTAGCATTAGTTTTGATAATGCTAGTGCAGCATGCATTGAACTTTTGAAAATGACACTTAATCCCTCATTCGACTCTAAATTATTTCATATGAGGTGTGTTTGTCATGTATATAATTTAATAGTGCAAGATTGTTTAAAATTAATAACACCACAAATACATAAAATTGGAGAAATTATTAACTACATTTCTTATTCAGATTCTAGACAACAAGAATTTGGAAAAAATTGTAAAAATCTTAGATTAAGAAGAAGAAAATTTATTGATGATATTCCAAATAGGTGGAATTCAACATTTCTTATGTTAAAATCGTGTATTGGTTATACAGATACTATTAATATAAGTATTACAAATCGGGAAATAGAATGTTTTTTTAATGAAATGTACAATAGTTATGCTATGAAATATGGTAATAATGAAAATGTTCCTTCTACTACGAGTTCTGATACAGTTTCTAAAAGTAAAAGTTCTTTCTTTTCTTTAATAGCCAAGAAACGCAATGTGTCTTTTACTTCATCTACTAGTTCATTTTCAATTGAGAATGTTACACCAGCTGAATTAGAAAGATATTATTAATTTGATTACTACAGTTTAATTCCACAAGACGGGGTTGACAACTTATTTATTTTACAATGGTGAAAATTAAATGAATGGTCATATCCAATATTTTTAAAAATGGCCCGAGATCTACTAACAGTTTCAGTCTCAATAGTGGCATCGGAGTCTGCTTTTAGTGCAGGTAATAGAGTGCTAGATGAAAGAAGATCAAGACTTAAAGAAGATATTTTAGAAACTCTCATTTGCGTGAAAGATTGGTTATTTGCAGATAGAAGAATGCAAGATGAAGTTGCTGGCGATATTGCTCAAAATTTTAAAAATCTTATCATAGATGAATATAATCTGATTTGTAATGACGAAATTATAGTTAAGTAGGTGTCAACTTAGTTGGGATGTACTTTAACTATAAGTTTATAAAAAGTTAAAAACTGTTTAATTTGTCAAGTTAGACAAAATATTGTTTGAAAAATTGTAAGTTTTTATGTTATTGATGTAAAACTTATTGAAAAATAAATCAATGTAAAATTTATTTTTATGTAACTGTTTTTTTTTTAATCTTATTATTATGATGTTGTTGATTTTTTGTTGCCAATCCAAAAAGTGCTATGAACATTAAAATTGTTTTTCTTTCATCATTCATGACTTGTACATATACCATATATTTATTTCACTAAATTCAATTATTTATTATACACCTCATATTTTTTTCACAAATCATATTTATTCCATATTCTATAAATTTATTCACGAAGTTATTTTATTTGTCAACATATTGATGTGTAGGAAAATTTAGATAAATTTTAGCATTTTATTAAATTAATAAGCATAATTATGTCAATTAAGAGTTCCTTAAATGCATATTTCAGCCAATAGGAAAAATACTTTTAGCTTCTCTAAATAATAAGTCATCTTAAAAAGCAATAATAAAATTTTTTATAGGGAAAAAAAAATCGACAGAAGAATTTCCAACGAAAATAACAACACATTCCATAATTTTCAATTAGCAACAAGACGTCGATCTGTACTTTCAAGAAGTCATTAAAGGTACAAACTTGATTATATTTTCTTATTTATATTTAAAAGATTCGTTCTTCACGTTGTCTTAGGAACAAAAGATGAGGTTCAAAACGATATTTTTGGAGGCTTTATTTCCTTGTTCTTCATAGTCTAACTAAAATAGTGGGCTAGTGATGTAGTGATAAATTCTCTCGTCACAATCGCATTTTTTGGTAGTGAAATAGAAAAGGAAAAAAATGATCTTCGTCGTTTGTTCGTTTGATGATTATTGAATGAAAATTTGTCAAATCCTGTCCAACTTTCAGTATTCTGTGATATAAATACAAACTTTGATTTTTGAACTCATAATTATTCTTAACATGACATTTCATGTATGATTAATAAGTAACACCAATATACTATGAGGTTTAAACACATTCTCAGTGTAATCGCACTTCTCTTCTCTTCGTCTTGTCCCAAACTGTTCGTAAGTGAGTTAGGTGCTTATAGTTCCTTTGTCTTCTTGTTTGCTTATACAAACTGAAATCTGAATATTTGAATCTTGAAAGATGGATTTTTCCATGATGCAAGTATATGGAAATACTCGGAGACAGAAGGTACATAGCAATATGATCGAGGTTGACACAACATGCTAAGTCCGCATATCATTGCCACGACTCACTCACGTTCACCATATGCCCCCGTTTGACAACCATTAAAATATAACTCATTTTTTCTCAAATTCATTTCCAATCATATTCTCGCAATAAAATATTTTGAAAAAAAAAAATCCTGCTTTCTAACAACTCATTCCCCAAAAAATTATTATTTCAAAACTTATTCTTCCTAAAACTAAAACAAGGGCTAATGACCAAACATTTGGCAATGACTAAGAGAATTTGGAGTTTTAAATTTTTTAGTGAAAAATCAGTAGAACAAGACTAGGAAATTGTCTTAGTTTTCGTAAAACGTACACTTCAACTAGTGTAACATACTAACATCCGTACCGAACACGTATTGAATATCAACACTTCTCTGATACTTTATCATGATCATTTTTTTCTTCATCAAAACAATTATATATTTTTAACTCAGTTATTATTAAGCTGTTATTTCTACCCCATTTTTCAATAATACATTTTTCTCAAAACTCATTTTCAACTACCCATTCTCTTCATAAAATAATTTTATACATAAACCTAAAATTCCTTTTTACTTTTCAATCATGCACTCCAAAAAAAGGCTATTTCAAAATCTTTTTTTTTTTTAAATAATGGGGATTAAACAAAAGTTAAATAACAATTACGTACTCATATTTAAAAAAATTCAACAAAAAAAATTAACAAGTATAATAATTTATTTAGTGTCAGCGTATCATATTGTTGAAACATCACGTGTTGACGCAACAATGAATCTTTTATATAGATTTTGGCTGTGATATTCAAACAATTAGTAGCATATGCTCACAAGATTACTCACTTTTTGAGTAATATTTACAGTGGTGAAAGGGGGGAAAATCAAGTCCCAACTTGCACTTGAATATACAGAATTAAATGGTAACAGTTAAATCTTTCAGCTGCACCCACCCGTAGGCGCATCTATCGCGGATTTTCTGCACTGTGGATGCTGCCAATTCAGCCACAGGACGCACCTTAGCGAGCTCTTTCTCAACTGTTAATCTATTAGTACTCTCAATCTGAAAAGTGGAAGCAACGTTTAATCGATGAATCGATTTCTAATAAACACAGAAAATGCCGGATGGAAGGAAATTATAACCTTGTCAATACAGCGTACGGTATCAAGAATGTTGCAGAAATAAGTTAGTTGTCTGTACAAGTCGGATTCCGTGTACTAATGCCAATAAATCATACAGAAAAATCATCAGTGGAAGGGAACGTAAAGAATGGAGATAGGGAAGTCAGCAGGATTGAGGTACACACCTTCCTTAAAAGATGTCCGTTACAGCGGGGATAGTTTGGACAAACAGTTCCTCTGTCTGAGTCCCCAAGTACTCGCAGATTCAGACTACGAGTAGAATAATTGCAAGTCTCGTCATCGCACTGTCAGTGAATATGATTCAGTACTAAATCTAATTGTTGAAGATTTACAAATCAAGCTGCAGCAGATGCAAGTAAAAGGTTTACAAATGCAAGTGCATACCATCATTAGGCCCTGGTAATATGTTGACACGAACCGTTCAACTTGCCGTTTTACCTGGTGAACATGCACAATTAACTAAAAAAAGGGACTGATAAACAGTACATCACTTGATAATGGATATTTCAGAAATTGTATTTTAGTTTTGCTGTTTAACATGAGATAACGTTCGCTTAACAGAATATCTGATTGTATTTTAGTTTTGCTGTTTAACATGAGATAACGTTCGCTTAACAGAATATCTGTATAACACAGGAGAATTAATAAGCCAAATACATTGAGGAAAAAAAAAAAAATCAAGAAACTCAAGGACTTCTTGTTCAAACTTAATGCAGCAGTTATCTAGGGAAATAGCAAAAGTTCTGCTAGGTGATGTAGCGAAACTTCAGATTTATGAGAGATGCATTTCATTGATAAATAACCTTATTGAATGATGTATAAAACTTTGTTGTGTTTTCCACTAGTATAAAAAATCTACCAAGAAAACGCTATATAGAAAGCCTTAAATCTATTGTGCCAAAAATAGAAAAAGGTTCAAACAACAGATTCCTTCTCCTTAGACCCTAATGTACGGTCTCAAGATCTTTCAAAATGGCATATAAATCACATTTACCTGGTTAGCTATCAGAGGAGGAGACATTCTTCCTCCATCACCTTCCTCTGGGCATTTTGGACAGCGCAATTTTAACCAAAAATTACTAGCAGATCCGGCTTGTGCGTCTGCCGGCTTTTGAGCAATTAAAGCACATATAGAGCTAAAAATAGGTGGGCAATTAAAGGTACTCGAGCAGCTGGGGCATGACAAAATTAAAGGTTCACAACCACGATATCTGCAATTCAGACATCAATAGCATAAATCCGATAATTATCGATCCCAAGCAATACATATTTCTTTACCCATACAGAGATGGAATCAACGATGCAAGATGGTGTTTAAATTTTTCAGCAAAAATCTGAAGGGAATAAAAACTGGCCACATGCCCTCCAGAGTAGATGGTTAAAAAAAATACAAGAAACTGAAACAAATAAGAAAAAAGGATAAACAAAGAACCAAAGAATCTAAAGCACAAAAGAATTTCTACACCATTATGACAGAGATAGCAGAAAACAAAATGTCTGAGATGGTCATCAAATATTAAGGATTTATTCATAATTTTTTTTGTTGATTCAAGTAATAAATTTCTCTTCATTCTGGGAACTTCGACATCATTATGGTATGCAATGAACAATCATCAACTAAAAAAATCACATGTCAAGCAGGATCCTTGACACATTTGTCAATTTAGTAGGCATCTTGTAAGAATGAGTTGCATAATTTTTATCAAGATAATGAGTACCTCTCCTCGTCATTTAACGCACACAGAAGCAAGCTTGAATGATCATTGCTGAGAGATTCACTTGATTTATTCTGGAACTGAGATATTTAGATTTTAAACATGTCAGTTAAGCATATGAAACAAACAGAATTCAGCGTGTGTGGTGTGTTTGAAAAAGAGAGAGATGATGGTTACCTTTGATGAGTCAAGACCTAAACAATCAGCCAAGCGTGCTGGACTTGTTCCCTGAATTGATGCACATAGACGTGATACCACAGGATGAATCTGCATAATATTGGTGAAAGTACTGAACAAGCTGGTAGCTAACAACGTGATTTATAGAAAACCAGCAACGGTTTCTAATATGCCAAGGGTCAAATAAGTAAAAAAAAAAAAAAAAGACCTGTTGTGCCAGGTAGTAATCAATATCAATTATCCAATTTCCATTGTCTTTTTTCAGTTCATCAGGATGTCTAGCCCGCTGGGCAATTCCTAGAGAGGCACTAGAACCATTCCCCTACAAATTTTCGAGAAAAAAGTTATCATCTTTAATACATTTGTATATATATCATCATAAGACATCAGCATTCATCGGCATCATCTTTAATACATTAGTATATATATCATCATAAGACATCAGCATTCATTGGCATCTAAAGTGACAAGAAGAGAAAGATAGAAACAGAAAGTGTGTTTGACCTGCTCACAACAAATGATATAAGGTACTGTATCTCCAGCAGAACAACCGGTGATGTATCCATTTTTCTTCAATCTGAGTGCTACCTAAGGAACCGAGATGCACAAATTGTTAAATCAAGGGCAGATATATATGATAGGAATCATTTATTATTTTATTACTTACTTCAACATGAGGTTGATTTCTAGCATCTGGATAAGCTTCAGGTGATTTTGTTAGTGACTTTGTGATCACATATTTTTCTAGTGGGATTTGTCCATTCCTCATTTCCTCTTGTACCTGCAATTGATTCACACACCTTTACCCATAAATTTTTAATTATCAAGCCACGCTGCAAGTCTTTCCCAAGCACAGACTGTTGGATAGTTCTCCACCATGTCGATGAGTGCAGGTTCAAATTTCCCTCTCCCAACACGAGCATTGAGAAAAATGAAATGTCACCCAAAGAAAAAGTATGAAGGTCCAAAGAACAACTGGAGCAGATTGTTAAGCAAGCAGACATTCTTGTTGAGCATGAGTGTTGCTCCAACAGTAACCACCTACACTGCCAAGTCATGGGTAAGGATCCTAATCCTAGGCACCTTTATGGTCAATGCACTTAGCAGATACTCAACAAATCATTTATAATGGCAATTTTATACAAACCAGTCAATATGCTCGTGTGCCTGTCTGACATGGAAATTTGGAAGGCCAAGAATTGTCCAACTTGTATGGATTTATTGAGGCTTATGTTGTTTGTCCTAGAACAATTACTTGACCTTTCTTACCCTATAGGGATCATAATAATACTTTACTTTCCCAACTGGTAAATTAGTAGGGGTGTATTTATAGCGAAGAATTGATTTTTGTGCACAACTTGGGTTACAAGATTATACCACTAAGGGGCTACTTGTTTGAGAAAAAGTCTTGTCCTTTCAAGGTCTTTGTGTGAAACAGTATAAACACACTGCCTATCATGGGAAAGGATTCTACTCCAAGACACCTTTATGGTCAATGTACTTACCAGACACTCAACAAATCATATATAATGGCAAGAATTTTGTCTGAGGCAATCAATATGCTATAGTATAAAACATACAGTAAACTTTGTGCCAAAAAAAAAAAAAAATACATCATTTAGTTTTGAGATGATGTCAAACACAGCACTTAAGCTTATCTACCTGAAGTTACGCTAAACGCCAGCTAAATGCCGTACACTATAAATTCAAAAGGCGGATACAACTTTAAGCAACCATCTGATATCTGACTTTTAGGTGATGAAATGCAATCAGTTACCTTCGTGAGAGAGTTATGTATTGATTCAACAACATCATCACAAGACCTAAAAGCATACAAGACGTATATAAGCTTTAGACAGCAGTTATCAATGGAAAATCAAAAATCATAAAATCAGCAAAGATAGTAAAAAAAATGTATAAAATATTTACCCGCCAGACAATATTTGACTGAGGCAGAAATCTCCCAATTCCTTTGATAGCAAGCTCCAATCACGCCGAACCATATCAAGACCTTTCCGCTCAATGGTCTTCACCAAACTCAAATTCAGGAACATTCAATGGAAAACTGAAATTTATAGAATCTTGAAGATATATTACAAGCTACCTCATATGGTTTGCCATCCTTGAACTGCACTTTTACTGCTGCATATTTCTTCTTCTTGAGTAGCAGCATTCTCTTGTACAAGCCGTCAAGGTCAATTTCAAGACACCTATATTTCTTGTTGACCTATCAAAAGGTAACAGACCCTGATTTGAGTATAAACGCATCTAGCAGAAAATCAAAAAGAAGAAAATGTCTATACTTTTTAAGCCAGATAATTGGGATGAATGAAATTATTCAAGTACATCAAAAGCTTTCGTTTTAATAGACCTACTTTGATGGTTCATAAAATATACATTAAAACCATGTGAGCAAATTAATACTGCATCATTCTCTATGATCAATCATCGAAAATATCGACACTGGTGACTCATGTGCCTGTGTTGATAAGAACATAAACTCCATCCTAAAACCAACAGGCATCAAGTGGAGTACCCATGATTAATACAAAGCTTCTCACAATTTCTTAACTAGTTGACATGGGAGGACTTTATATTATATTCTAACACCCACTTACATGCAACCCATGAGAAAGACGCTGATATGGCAAAACATGGCAGCAGAAACAATCTGGCAAGACCCAGCGAAATTGAACCTAGAGTGGCAAAGCCCAAGCAAGCGGAATAGCATAATAAAGCACAACAAGAAATGAAATGACATAACATGACATGGGCAACAGCAGGGGTGCAAAGTCGTGCTCAAGCTTAGATAACATGACAAAGAACTCGAGTTTCCATTGCAAAACCAATTGGCATTAAGTGGATTAGCTCAGGATAATTTATGACATCAGAATTTCCTAATTAACTGGAGAAACATCATACGTGTTAACAAGTATCAAATGAATCAATAATAAATACAGGAAGAGCTTTCACACTGGCAATGGATTTACATGGGATACATAGGCAACAATATTTTATATTATTAATAAATTTGATAACCTAGAATTTTACCGAGATATTTGATAATCAATAAAAGCAATTTGCATTCAAATAATAAATTTGACAACCTAGAATTTTACCGATATATTTGATATTCAATAATAGCAATTTGCATTCAATACCCACCTCTTGAATGACCTTTCCTGCAATTGATTTCGCTTTTCCTATGTCATCTAGTCCACTATAAATCATTATTGAATCCGTGTCTCCATAAATAACCTGCTTGAGAAAGAGATGTCATGCTTCAGGTATGACTGCTCAATAAGGGAAAACTAGACAAAAGCTGCAAGTTGACATTCATAAAATCTATCATTCATTAAAATATTTGACCTCTAAGTTCAAAGTATTCTGAACAAGATCAACGGTACTTTGTAGAATCTCCCTTCCCTTCACAGAAATAAGTGAATTGGTCATCAGCATTATCTATCTATAATTTGCCTACCTATGGCGTGTTTATTCAATATTAGCAACTAATGAAGTTCATACTTGTTGTGTAACGATTTCTGCTAATGGCTTTGCAAAGAATCTGGAGTTGGAGAATCCCAGACATCCATAAATACTGTAGACCAAATTTGTTCATAGGAAAAAAGGGTAAGGCCACAGTTAAGAAATCACAAGAAGAAGCACAGGAATCAATTGGAAGGAAAAAACAACAGAAACCTGTTTGCTGTAAGCTTCAGAGCTTGCTGATGTATGTCAAGTTGTTGAACCTTGAGACCAGATGCTGTTTTTAACCATGATTTCACCATTCTCCTCCTCTCCACCAAATTCTTTAGTAACTACAGTTACATGTTGATTAATGATTATTCATTAGAACATTGAACTATAGGCATCAATACAATCATTGGAAGCTGATTAAAACTCCATTCATCTGAGGTAGGCAATAACTCTTGTTTTTGTTTTTATACAACTACATATTTGTTTGTAAACAAAATAAGATGGAAACTTAGAAACAAAAGTAAGAAAATCTGGAAAGGGCTATGCTGGTTTAGTTGGAAGGTGGCAATGAAAAGTAGACGAAAAATGTAACTGGCATCCACCTATATTCATCATTAGATGATACACAGATTATTCTGGGTAAGAGAAATCTTTCCCTCAATTCACTAGCTTTTCTGCCAACCATGCTAATCATATACCAAATCATTTATTTGCAATCAATCTAATGAAGTCAGATTTTTCCCTTTTATAGCTGAAATCAAAGCCAGCTGGAACTGAACCTTATGACTTCAATTTAAAGAAAAAATATGGTTTATAGAGAATATATTGCCGTCATCATCTGATGAAAAAATGCTGACCTTTCTACTAATGCAGATACATTAAGCCACCCCATGTCCGTGATGCATATGTTTCATATTTCGCTGTGCTTAAAGTCATGTCAACAAATGTACATCCAAAAGGTTTGCGTGATGGAATCAATCTCCAGTGCAATCCCATCCTTTTATGGAAATGTAACTATATCTACCCTGACTTCGTTGAGGAATATAGTGATGCGTTAAAGAAATTCATAACTTTCGACCAGGCAGATCTTTCATAATTATAAAACACTAAAATCCTGATATCATGTTTATTTTATCTAAAATTATGGTAAATAGATATCATTGATTCCTAATTTATGACAACCTTATTGGAGATAAAAATCTTCATATTAGTCTGCATAAAACTTGATTTGCTTTTTTATTGCATTACAGGCAATTCCAAATCTGACATCAAAAGAGCAAGATCCCATGTTTATTGAGATGCTTTACCTCTGGTAGAACTCCAGTGGTTTTAGCACATGGTAAATGGGGAACTGATCCATCCGCAAATCTTTCAACCGTGGTGAAACATATATTGTACTCCTGCATAAGATATACAGGCAGAATGATAATAGTGCATAACAAAGTGCAGAAAAACATCATCACTTCAACAAGGGGTAGGGAAAGCAGAGGGTAGCGAAGGGGTACAAAGTGAGAAAAACGCAAATAACTTGCCTGAATAATGGAAGGATAAAGACTGTTGAAATCCAAAAGCAATATATACTTGTCATATAAACCTTTTTTTGGTTCTAGAACTAATCCACCTGCATAGGAAGGTCCCCTTTTGGTTTTCCCATGATCAATCTCTAAAGGCTTGTTATTAAAATTTGTGTCATCAGCATCCACATCATCAATCTCTCTTCCCTCAACACCATTAGACAGTGTACGTTTTGTTGTCTTCATTTCCTTGGATTGAGAGGAAAACTTGTCTGGGACAATAAATTTCTTTGAATGAAAAGCATGCAATAGCAGATATTCTACTCTTTGAGCCCTTGCACCCTGAAATTAAACAAATCATTCCTTTTCATATTTTGTAATTCAAGTGTGGTAACAAGTTGATCTCTCACATATTACTAGACTATTTTAAGCACACTGTAAACTTCACCTGGAGAGTTTTCCCCCAAAGATTTCCACTAATACTAGTCAGTTGACGTGTGAGTGGAAGAACACTCAAGTGGAACATAAGTTCCATAGACAACCACGCATCTGTTTCACCATACTCAATCTGCAAATACTAGATGTGTAAGAAACGTATAATACATTCAAAAATAGTATGAATGGTTTTCAATTAAACAAGCGTACATCGTTTCATGTGAGGCAGTAATAAAGCTTTAGCACTGGACTAAAAAGAAAGGTTGTCAACATTAACTAATCAAGTATTTACTTTATGTGATAATTGGAGAATGTGACTCATATCACATGTATTACAAACTGGAAAACCTCCATCTCAATTACTATGAAGTGTGAAAGTTTCATAAAGTTCGAATTCTATAGAGCTATTGTGTTATCAACCAACTCCCTTATTCTAGGTTATAAAGACTGGATTCTTCCATTTCTACACTTAGAAATACTCTTGCTTAATTTTAGAGCACGAGCATTAGAAAACTTAACTAGAAACAAGGACTTACAAGTTCCATAAGTGATTCAGAATTTTGGAACATATGAGGAATATCGTGTGGAGTGATCTCCTTACGATCTTTATTTAGCTGTGTTTTTGCCAATTGTGTCAAGGAATAGCTAACCTGAAAGAAGCAGAAAGCCATAAAGTAAGATATTATAAGCTTTACTGCACTATAATAATGATATAACCTACCTCTTTTAATAGGTCACGTGAACATATGTAAGTATCACATAAGAGACGGCCTGCAATGCAAGATATGATCCCTTGGCTTGCTCCTGAGCCAAACATGGAACTTCCTTTATTAAGTTTGGGCATAACAGAGCGCTTGAGACGTCCTAATTTTGACCACATAGTGCTGGGCACTCTGCAAGCCTGCACCATACCACCATAAGTATTTGGGACATCTAGAGGATAGTACCTCTTCCACGACAAGGTGAAAAAATAAAAATAAATATTGTGACACAACGCTAATGATGCTGATCCCAACTTGACATTGATTAATATTTAAAGAAGCCAGTTGTACCATGAAATGGGGTGGCTTGTCAAAAAGGTTGAAGATCGACAAAGATTCCGAAGATTACGTCTACCATAAATACAAATATAAACTTGATTGTAAATTATTGTAATTAGAGGTTACCATATTTAGGTTGTACATGTTCTCTATTTATTGAAAGGATCCTCACACGAGGAAGGAAACGAAGCCTAATTTTATCATGGTATCAGAGCCATACCTTGATATCTTCCACTGTTCTTGAGTTTTCCAGCATCTCTGTAGTCGGTTTCGGTGCGTAATCGACGCTATTCCTGCATCCTGTGTGTGGGCTCGAAGTAATTTCGAGCAATTGGTGGGCAATCGATTGCGTGCGTCCGTTGGGTCAGTGTCGCCGTCTCCGATCCGGCGCTTCCAGTGTGTAATCAACGTGATTCCGGTGTCCAGAGTGTGGGCTCGAAGTGATTTCGAGAATTTGTGGCTGGTCGACTGTGTGCGTGTGTTCTGGAGTTCATCGCGTCGCCTGCGTCGTCTCCGTCGCCTTCAGATTGGAGTGTTTGGGCCTGTGTTGAAAGTGGGCTTGTGTTGGGGTGAGTTTAAAGAGTGGGTTTTATTAATTGAGATTGGGCTGGTTTAAGAAGTGGGCCTGAATCATTTAAGTTTGGGCTGGTTTAAGAAGTGGGCCTGAAATTAAGTTTGGGCTAATATTTAGGGGCAATTAAGTTGGGATAAAATTATTTTGTGGATTGGGCTGTAATTTAGTGGATTGTTTGGGTTACATATTGTAATTATATATATTACAATATGTCGGTCGATGCGTTTTGTGTTAAGTTCACAGGTAAAAATTACTCAATATGGGAATTTCAATTTAAAATGTTCTTAAAGGGGAAGGAGCTTTGGGGTCATATTGATGGGTCATCTATCACTCCTGAAGATGCTAAGGATTTCAGTGCATGGGAAACAGGGGACGCTCGTATTATCTCTTAGATTTTGGGATCGATGGATGCTCATATGGTAAACAATCTACGCTCGTTTACTACAGCTAAGGGGATGTGGGATTACTTGAAGCGAATTTATTACCAAGACAATAATGCACGACGATTTCAGTTGGAGTTAGAAATTGCTAACTACACTCAAGGTACTCTTACAATTGAGCAATACTACTCTGGTTTCTTGAATTTGTGGAGCGAGTATTCTGGTATTATTCATGCTAAGATCCCTGCGGCGGCCTTATCTGCACTACAAGATGTTCAAGAGGTTAGCATGAGGGATCAGTTTCTTATGAAATTACGACCCGAATTCGAAGTGGTTAGGGCTGGCTTATTGAACCGTGATCCGGTTCCTTCTTTGGATGTGTGCCTGGGTGAACTTTTGCGTGAGGAACAACGACTGGCAACTCAGACTACCATTGGAGCTGAGTTTTCCTCTTCTAATGTGGCCACAGTTGCTTATGCTGCCCAAGGACGGGGAAGAGGTAAACTACAGTGTTTTGGCTGCAAAGGATACGGACATATTGCGCGTAACTGTCCTCAGAAAGTCTGCAATTACTGTAAACAACCGGGACATATCATCAAAGACTGTCCTACAAGACCTCCACTCCGTCGTACTCAAGCATTTCAAGCAGTTGCACAAGATCCTAATCCTGCACTCTCTCCAGCTAGCACTAGTCAACCTGTTCTTACTCCAGAAATGGTTCAGCAGATGATTGTTTCTGCCTTCTCTGCCTTGGGCTTGCAAGGTAAGGGTCAAAATATTTCTTCTCCTTGGTTTGTTGACTCGGGGGCATCAAATCACATGGCAGGTAGTTCTGATTCCTTACATAATATTCGACGATACACTGGTACACAGCACATTCAGATTGCTAATGGCAGTACTCTTCCTATTACTGCTGTTGGTGATATTGGGCCTTCTTTCGATAATGTTTTCGTATCTCCGGGTTTATCTACAAACTTGATTTCGGTTGGTCAATTGGTTGATAATAACTGTGATGTATGTTTCTCTCGTGCTGGTTGTCTTGTGCAGGATCGGGGATCGGGGACGGTGATCGCAAAGGGGCCTAAGGTCGGAAGATTGTTTCCACTACAGTTTACTAGTTTTCCTGCTATGTCTTTGGCTTGTATTAGTAATAGATTTAAACATGAAGTGTGGCATAAACGATTGGGTCATCCCAATGCTTTAATTTTATCTCATTTGTTGAAATGTGGTTTTTTGGGTAATAAAGAGCAGTTTCCGTTTTCAAATTTGTCTTTCGATTGTGATACCTGTAAACTTGGAAAAAGTAAGACTCTTCCATTTCCATCTCATGGTAGTCGTGCTCATCAGTGCTTTGAGATTATTCATAGTGATGTTTGGGGAGTGGCACATGTAACTTCACATGCTCATTATAATTATTTTGTGATGTTTATTGATGATTTCAGTCGTTACACTTGGGTATATTTTCTGCGGTCTAAAAGTGATATCGGTACTATTCTTCAGAATTTTATAGCTTATGTTGAGACACAATTCTCCTCTCGTGTTCAAATCTTGAGAACTGACAACGGTGGGGAATATATGTCTCATCAGTGTCAATCGTACTTACAACAAAAGGGTATTCTTTCTCAACGCTCTTGCCCGTATACCCCTCAACAGAATGGAGTGGCAGAACGAAAGAATCGTCACCTCTTGGATGTTGTTAGAGTTTTGCTCTTAGAGTCTTCAGTTCCATCCAAGTTTTGGGTCGAAGCACTTTCCACAGCGGTATATCTGATTAATCGACTTCCTGCTCAGCATTTGCATTTTGCCTCTCCTTATTTTCGCCTGCATGGTACACATCCTGGCTATGACATGTTACATACTTTTGGTTGTGTTTGCTTTGTTCATCTACCTTCTCATGAACGTCATAAGCTTGGTGCTCAATCTGCACGGTGTGCTTTCTTGGGTTACAGCATTACTCAGAAAGGTTTCATTTGCTATGATGGTGTTGCTAATCGTTTTCGTACCTCTCGCAATGTGATTTTTTTTGAGAATCAGTACTACTTCCAACAACATGTTGTTTCATCTTCTGATTTGGTTCCGCTTATTAGCTTTGTGCATGACTCTGGTTCTGTAGAGCGCTTTCCTTCTCTATATCGTCAGTTAGTAGGTAGTTTGAATTATCTCACTATTACTCGACCAGATATCTCTTTTGCCGTCCAACAGGTCTGTCAGTTTATGCATGCTCCACGACATCTTCATCTGACTGCTGTTCGTCGTATTATACGATACTTGCTGGGTACACCTGATCGGGGCCTTTTCTTTCCTGCGAACTCTTCTCTTGAGTTGGTCGGATATAGTGATGCGGACTGGGCAGGATGTGCGGACACTCGTCGCTCAATCACAGGTTGGTGCATGTTTCTTGGAGGTGCACTTATTTCCTGGCGCAGCAAGAAACAGGATCGTGTTTCTAAATCTTCCACTGAATCTGAGTATCGTGCTATGTCTTCTGCTTGCTCTGAGATCGTTTGGCTCCGAGGCCTTTTATCGGAGCTTGGTTGTCCTCAGCTTGGCCCTACTCCTCTATATGCTGACAACACAAGTGCTATTCAGATTGCTGCTAATCCTGTATTTCATGAGCGCACTAAACACATTGAAGTGGATTGTCACTCCATTCGTGAGGCTTATGATGGTCGTCTTATTTCTCTTCCACACATCTCCACTGATGTTCAGATCGCTGATGTGTTTACTAAAGCAATGGCCCGACAGCGTCATCAATTTCTTATCAGCAAATTGATGCTTCTTGATCGTCCAGCATCAATTTGAGGGGGGATGTCAATAAGGTTGAAGATCGACAAAGATTCCAAAGATTACGTCTACCATAAATACAAATATAAACTTTATTGTAAATTATTGTAATTAGTGGTTACCATATTTAGGTTGTACATGTTCTCTATTTATTGAAAGGATCCTCACACGAGGAAGGACACGAAGCCTAATTTTATCATGGCTGAGTACTAACTAGTCAGATCAGTACCAGAAAGTATGAAATTCATATTATTGTATTCGAAACTGGAACTCACGAGTCACAGCTGAAGCTCTTATAAAATGGCAAAGACCAAATTGAATGCTTTGATAAAATACAAACCTGAACTCTGTGGAGGAGGATGTCCAGGTCAAACCCAGATATATTGTGCCCAACTAGAACATCGCTATCCAATTTGTGCAACTCGATCATCAAACGATTTAACAAAGCTCTTTCACTGAGATGTCAAAAAGCTCAGAAGGGGAAGGGAGAGGGAGAGGGAGAGAGGATCAGCAACTATAAGTGCATAAAATTACGAGAAAAAATTATCGAAAGAGTAAGTTGGCAATTGCATTGATTTACAACAGAACATGCCTGCTTTCAAAGCTAATGACATTTGATCTAGCTTTTTCATTTCTCTCAGCTGCCTCTTTGGTAAATCCCATAGGAAATATGCCTCCCTCAAATTTGCGCACAACAGTAAAATGACTAAGCATTCCAGGGCGAGTCCACTCTGAGCTCAACATGGGAGTATCAATCTGGAAGGTCCATTCATTAATATTTGACTTTGGAGTGATACTACAATATAACAAATTCCCTGCTCATTTGGCCTTGCATCAAATGATGTACAACGTAAAAAGAGCCAGATGCACATGGACTGCAATTACAGCTTGAAATATAATTGATCACTCCATAAAATACAGATTCCAAATCAATAACATAATGTTTTAACCATATAGAGAATAGCTTAAAGAACTTACAATTTGAAACCATGGTTTAAATGGGGAAAAAAAAGTAATACATGTCATTAAAAATGTACATAAAATGGCATGTATTTAAATCAGATAAGCAATATATCCATCAATAGCAAGCTTTTGGGCTATACCTTAGCCTTGTGACAGCAAATGACAGATGCAGAAACAATTTCATTAACATTCTGTTTATCATTGATGATGGTTTTCAAATTTATTGCTGTAACAACCACTGGAGGAATCTCTGAAGTATATGTTGAGGAAGTTGGATCTTTAATGTCTTTTGGACAATCAACAGTGATCTCAAACTTACACCAGCTCACCTGTCCAAAATGTGAAAGTCAGAAATCGAGCAAAATAATCTGTAGTATGCCAATACAAACTGCGGTACATTGACATAAATGACAGAACATATAGAGCTGTGAAAGCCTCACACGTTGAGGAGCTGGACAGCTGGAAAACTTCGAAATTGACAGCCATGAAGGTCCTTTTACTTTCCTTTTAACAAGAAAGAGCTCCAAGGCACTGCAAACATCAATGCTGATTAGAAATCTTTTGTGCATTAAATGGTATGCATTAGGTAAATGGATTAATATCCAGATATCTAAATATGAATCTGATAACTCATCGTGACGAAGTACAACATTCAAATTCCAGGAACTGATTAAAGAGATTGAGAGGGATTTATATCACAGAATGTAATTGAGGAAAACATAGAAGTCCTCAACCAGGTGCACAACAAACAAACCCAAAGTACAAATGTAAGCAAGAATATATCAACTTCTAAGCTATGAAAAAATCCCTCTATATTGTTTGCTTTACTAGTTCAAATAGGCAGCACATAATCGACGTGAACGCCAAAATCCGTGCCAAAAGTTAGGATATTGTATGCTAGAAGAAACTTCAATATTTGAACTTCAGGAAAAGGAGACAGCTCTGTTCGAAACCTGCTATGAGTTCCAAGCAAAGTATAGAAGTGATCTCCCTTGAGATCTGATGGCAGCACTGGATCCTGTAAAGGCAGGGAGAACGCAAGTAAATAGGCTTCACAATATTCCTCCATTCTTCTCACATGCTAGGTTCACTGCTATGACTATTTAATCTCTAATATTCACTCAAATACCTACCTAAACTGCTAAGATATATTGTACTTAAATCCAGATTTTTTAAAAAGGAATATTAACAAACCTTAAATGGATAATTGATCTTGAGGACATAATTCTTCCCGTGAGGTATGTCTGTTCGTTCAAAAGCATAATTTCTCTACGAAGGAAGTAAAAGAACACAGAATGATAATTTGATGAAAGATCTGAATGCAACATAACTTCTAAATGACACGAGAAAAAGAATAAAAATTGAAAGGTATTACAGAATTGATTTAACTACATCAACTAAATACATTTTCACATAAACATATCGCATCACATCAACTACTATCCAAACCTTGACAGGTGCCATGCTAAAACTTGAAACATTGCGATCCACTAACTGCTTTGCCATTTCAGATTTCACAGCTAACGCCATCTCCTAACAACAGAAAAATGACCCATCAAAATAGGATGAAACAAATGAATATATAAGAATACTGCATACAGCAGCAAGACATATTACATGCAGCTGAGTGCACAGAGTGGTCTGAGACTCTTCCACATCTCTCTCTAGCTTTGCAATTTTGTCTTTATAATCTGTGGATGACATTCGGGATTTTTCACCATCTTTCTCTCGTTTCATGGTTTCTTTAAATGCTTTGAGTGACATTTGAGACTCTTCAACGTCCCTTTCTAGCTTAGCAATTGTATCATTGTGCAGAAAAGGAACTGTTGGGAATGCATAAACACATCTTTGCATGTTCTTTACAACCACACAGCAGCTCTGATATGTACCTCCAGCTTTGACCTTAGAAGTCACAATAACAAGTATCAGATGTTAAATTTGAAGTTTATATTTTCAGTGCATTTTAAATCACAAAGCAAATGCAAATTTACCAAAGTACACACTTGACTAGTAAACCAAATAACAAATGACAACATTAGATCAGGCTGATTATTGTACAACAGAACCCATTTCTACTTATGCTGCTTGTGAACTCGATCCACCACAAAAAGGAAATAACTGACTCACTACTCCAGGCTGAACAAGAAAATTTGTAACCAAGATGCTACAATATACCAACCAAGTAAACTCGTGTTAATAGCTATAAATATGAGAACACTTGTGCCTGAAAAGTTATGTAATTGCTGAAGCTCAAAAATGCTTTCAAAAGTCAAAGTTGGAAAATGAATCATCCCGATCAAGTTCGCATGAACTTCAAACTGTGCAGTGTAATCAAATATCTAAAGATAGCAGATAATGACAAATATAGATGAAAGCATAACCAGGACGTCAACAGTGTAACATACTTTTCCAAAGAGATAGATGTTCCCTGCATTAGCACCATAAATTTCCTCATGTGCATCGAGTATGTAGAAAGGCAATGACCCTTTGGAATCCACTTCAAAGTCAGTCTTTTCCTCGTTGCTAGAGCTCTGGTTTGGTCCATTTTCATCAGCAACCACAAATTCTCCAGCACTCCTTACGGCCTGCCATCCCAAAGTAGCACTCAAATCCAGATCCTTCGACTCCTCAATTTTTGCATTGAGACTGAACACCTTTTTCTCCTCCTCCACAGCTGACTCCTTTACTTCAACCCTGTTCAACAAACTATCTTCATTCCGGTTTTTATTATCCGAAGATTCATTATTTTCCTTCCCTTCCTCTTTTGATTCATTACATAAAGTCCTGCCTTCTTCAGTTTCCTTAGGCATAACCTTCTCCTTACCCATCATACTTTCACCCTGTTTCAAATGGAACAACGACTGGCTGCCGCCAAAATTGATCTCCTGAATTTCATCTGAAACGCTCAAATTAACACCGTCCATAACAGTCTTCTCAAGCTTAACCGATGCATCATTCAAATTACCTGGTACAAAATTCCTCAAATTATTCAGATTCCCTCTCCTACGCTTCTCCCTATCATTCTCATCGGGCGCAAACTCAGCAATCACTTCATCAACAATACTATCGCACGACAAAGTAGTGGCTTTATTATCCTCCCTATTTTTCTTAAACACTGATGATGTGAACATATTAGAAATCCTCTGCCTACCCATTAGTGCAGCTGCCGATTGCAGGGCCGAGGGCTTTTTAGTAATTTCTCTCTCCTTTTTCTCCAGATTATTACTATTTTTCTTTCTTTTCGGCCTCTCGGATTCTCCCTCCGATTCTTCAGATGATAAGGGGACACCGGCGAGAGACCAATCCTCTTCCTGGCCCTCGTCGCCGTACCCTAGACCGTTATCATCGATTATGAAACCCTTGACTTCTTCCCGGCGCTTCGCAACTAGGGCTTCGTACTCATCCTCGTCCACTGTATCGTAGATCGGTTGGTCCACCTTAACCTGGAAGTCAAGGTCCCGGCGACCACCGCTCCGGAGAGCCTTCAGCCGCTCAAGCGCCTCTGCACGTGCCTCCGCAGCAGCGCCACGGGTCCGACGCCTTCCGGCTACAGTTGGCTGCTCGTCGGACATTTTTTTTTTCGCTTTATCTGTCAGTCTCTCTCTTTCTTTCTCTAGATCTATGCTCTAGGGGAGAAATAGAATTGGAGGGAAAGAAGAAGAAACAAAAGGCGGGAAACGTATGTTCGCGCCAAAACAAATGAAATTACTCTTACTTGTGGGCTCCGTTGTTGTTCCATTTCTGGCCCATACATAATATTTTGAGGCCCAATCTCAGTGTCTCCTGGGCACAGTCCTGGGCCGGCCTTTTGCCCTTGGAATGAGCTTATGTTTAACTATTAAGGAAGGGTAATTAAACCGAGGAAAATTACCTCATACCTTGCCTATAAGATTTACTATTCAAAATTAAGATGACTCCTCTTTGAGCCTCATTTTTTGTCAAAAATATATTTTGAAATAGTAATTTGATGAAAAATGTATGGTTCAAAAATAAGAAAAATTTTGAATTTGCGTGTAATATTATTTTATTGAATATTGTGTAGTTAGAAATATGAGAAAAAAATGTATTTCGGAAATAATGAGCGACATAATTTTTTACTTTTACTAATCAAGTGATAATTAAAATTAATTAAATTAATTAATACATGATTAATTAAAGAAAATCGTTTTATTTTTATCTAATTAGGTATTTTGAAATTTCTTTCCATAAAAAAGTGCATGATCATTGTCTTTCCTATTTGAAAGAGTGCTATTTGTGTGTGTCTTGACTGAACATTTTGATTTTATAACTAAAGTGAATATTGGAGCTATTGCTTGATAATCCATTAATTCCAAGAAGTAAATATATATACAATTGTCATGGAGTAAATCACCTACAATTACGAATGAAAGCAGATTTCTAATTCCTACAATCAGTAGCTAATTACACATTATTCTAATTCTAGAATTAGACAATTGACTTAATTTACGTAATGATAAATTATTTACAGTGATTGATTGTTGTTTCTTTCTATATGCCCCTCAAGATGGAGCTCCTAGTGGAGATTCCAATATTGTCCTTGAGAGCAAGAAACTGAGCACATGAGAGTGGTTTTGTATGCGAATCAGCCAGCTGATCGGCGGAGGAGACATGTGTGACACGGAGGGCACCACGTTGGACTTGCTCGCGGATGAAGTGAAAATCAATAGCAACATGCTTCACCCGAGAGTGCAAAATTGGGTTCTAACACAGATGGGTGGCTCCAATGTTGTCACAATAGATGACCGGAATATGTGAAGTTTGTATTCCAAGTTCGCTGAGTAGTGAACAGATCCAGCTTAATTCGGCAGCAGTTCAATACTCAACTTTATTTGACGAGCTTGCAACTGTTCGTTGCTTCTTAGAGCTCTAAGAAACTATACTTTGACCAAGATAAACAATGTGAGCATTGGTTGATGTGTAGTCATCTTTGTTACCCGCCCAATCGGCATCGAAAAAGGCATGGAGAGAGAGTGTTGGGTTGCAATGAAGTACGATGTCGTGATCAAATGTGCCACGAAGGTATCATAACGGGCATTTGGTAGCATTCCAGAGATCTGTCGTAGGACGGTGCATCAACTGAGAAAGCTTATTTACTACAAATGCAATATCAGGTTGTGTGAAAGTTAAGTATTGAAGACTACCACAATTGTTCGGTACTCGGAAGCATCTGTTAGGGTGGTGCCATTGTAAAGACTCTGAGTTTAATATGTTCCCAGAGGGATAAGTACTGGTTTGGCGTCGGTCATGTAAGTGCGGGTGAGAAGATCTTGAATGTAGCGACGTTGCGAGAGAAGGAGACCAAGCTTGTGCGGAAGAAACTCAACACCCAGAAAGTATGAAAGACTACAAAGATCCTTTAAGGAGAAGGAAGCTGCAAGTTGAGTAATAAAACGTTGCACTACGAAATTGTTGTTCCATGTGATGATGATGTCATCTACATATACTAGCAGGTAGATCATGGTATGTGTATTGTTGAAAATGAACAAAGAAGTATCCGCACAGGAGTTTTTGAAGCCCGCGGTGAGTAGATATTGTCGTAACTCATGATACCATGCCCTTGGGGCTTGTTTCAGACTATAGATGATTTTGTGCAATTTGCACACATGATCTAGAAAGTCACCATCAATAAAGCTTGGAGGTTGTACCATGAAGATGTCTTCAGTGAAATGACCTTTCAAAAAGGCATTGTTGATGTCAAGTTGTCGTAGCGACAATCCACGACTGATTGTAACGGTGAGACTAGATGAATCGTTGTTGGTTTGATAACTGGACTGAAAGTGACATGATAGTCAATGCCCGAACGTTGATGGGAACCCTTTGCCACTAAACGTGCTTTGTGCTTATCAACAAAACCATCTGGTAGAGGTTTAGTGCGAAAAATCCACTTACATCCAACAAGATTGTGGGCTTGGTTGGGTGGAACAAGCTCCCATGTACCATTTCGAACAAAAGCATCATACTCTTCAGACATTGCAAGACGCCATTTGGTGTCTCTTTGGGCCTGGGTCACTGTTGTTGGTTCTAGGTCATCAGATGAGATTAGTTTAGCAATAAGGTTGAGCTTTTTGGATCGATTTATGGATATGATTTTTGGCTCTTGTGGTCATGGAATGTGTGTTAGTTAGGTCTAGATGATCGGATGTGTGGTGAATATTGTTCTAGGGTGGGAATGGATGAAGAAGGTGTCAAGATTTGGTCTCGGGTAGCGGTTGGTCGGTCGGTTGAGGTCGATTAGTCCACTAAAGATTGGGCGAGAGTGTTTGGAGTTTCTGGTGTCAATGTCATTCGTACAGGAGTAGCATTTGAGAGACCTTCCACCGATGAAGTGGTGAGTGTTATGGCTGTGGGAGAATTTGTGGAAATTATGTAGGCAGGTGGTAACCGGTGAGAGATAGTGGTTGACTCTGAACGATTGAGATGAATTTGAGTAGATTGGAAGGGGAAGACTGATTCGATGAAATGGACATGACGAGAAATATAAAGACAAAATGTGTTGGTATCAAAACACATGTACGCACTTTGGGTGGAAGAGTAGCCAAGAAAGGCACAAGGAATGGATCGAGCTTCAAGTTTGTGATTATTGTACAGTCGAATCCGTGGATAACAAAGACGCCCAAAGGTTTTGAGTTTAGAGTATTTGGGAGTGGTGCCAAAGATTTTTTCGAATGGTGAGAACATGTTGAGTGTGGGTGTAGGAAGCCGATTGATGAGATATACAGCTGTAGAAAAGGCATGATTCCAGTAGATTAGAAGAATGGAGGCATGCATGAGTAGAGAGAGGCCAGTTTCTACAATGTGACGATGTCGTCTTTCAAAATATCCATTATGTTCAGGTATATGTGGTGGAGTGGTTAAATGAGTGATGCCATTTGTAGCTAAAAATGAGTTAAGAGCTTGATATTCCCCACCATTATCAGAGTATAGGGTTTTAATTCTGTGATTGAAACAATTTTCTACAAGTGCTTTGAATCGAATGAAGACATCATAGACATGAGATTTACGCTTAAACGGATAATACCAGACATATTTGGTGAAGTGATCAACAAAAATGATATAGTATTTGGATTCATCATATGAATGCACAGGAGAGGTCCAAACATCAGAGAAAATTATTTTAAGAGGTTTTGTAGAGACAAGAGAAGAAATAGAGAATGGAAGCTTATGACTTTTATTACAACTGTAAGCATTGCAGCGATTATTTGTTGTGGAGACAGAAACTGGTAATTGAAATTTAGAAATGACATGTTTGTAAATTGGAGAGGTAGGGTGACCTAAGCGATTGTGCCACTCAGTAGTTAATGTCTTGACACTGGAAAAGAGAACAAGAGGAGGTTTGGATGTTGAAGGGGTTGGCCACTCTTACACTCCATCCTTAGTTGGTCCCTTCAAAAGTGCTTAGGTCCTTCACCAGAAAACCAGAAGGTAAAAATTCAATAGAAACATTATTATTGAGGCACATTTGAGAAATAGAGATGAGATTCTTTTTCATGGTAGGAACACACAAGACATTATTTAATTGAAAATTGCGTGTGGAGGAAGGAAAAGGGGTTGAACCAGTGTAGGTGATTTGAAGACCCGTCCCATCGCCAATCATAACATCATCGTGAGCATCGTACGGTGCATGAAGAGAGAGATTATCTAGGTCAGTGGTGACATGGTCAGATGCACCACTGTCAAGGAGCCAAGATGGGGTGTTGGATGTGCCAGTTATTGTATAGTTGACTCGTGGTTGCCAAGGAGATGATGACCATGGACTTGTTGGTCGGAAACCTGATGAATGTGGGGCTGTTGGGGAATAGCCTGAATTGGGTTGAGTGGAGATTAAACGAATTTGTGTGCATCGTTTGGCTGTGTGCCCTTGAGTGTTGCAAGCTTGACATGTTCCAAGATAAGGACGTGGTGGAGGTCTTTCAATCGGAGAATTGTTAGAGGATGACCATTGATTTGGTGATGGTTGAGTTGATGAGTTGAAGTGAGGACGCCATGGTTTATTTTGAAGATTTACTGATGTTGGATTTGTTGTTGCTGGAAGAGATGCTGGTTGTGGTTGTTGGGATTGACGCAATGTAGTTTTTTTGTTCGGGAGTTTTTCATGAAGCTCATCAAATGAAATTGTCGTGTCTCGAGCGTTGACTGCTTCAACGATGGATTTGTATTCCTCTTCAAGACATCAAGGACTTTTTCAATCAAGTCCTCTTCATCATATGGTTTGCCCAGAATTGCAAGCTCATCGGCATGACTCCGAGTATATTGCATATATTCGCTAATGGTACGGGAGCCTTTGATTGGATTCTTTAGTTGCTCCTTAATTTGCTTGATGTGACCACGAGTGGGCTTTGCATATGTGTTTTTAAGAATCAGCCAGGCATCACAAAAGGTAGTAGCACGGTTTATGAGTGGAACAATTGCAGCAGACAATGATCCGACCATGGCGCTGAAGATTAATTTATCATGTCGATGCCATGTTTGAAATGCTCGATTTGGTGACTTCGTGCCATTAGTGGTAATGGTGGAAGATGGTGCATTAATTGAGCCATCAATATATCCTTCA